TTCTAGATAAACTTGTAATCTGTAACCTGTTACATCTCCAAAGTAGCCTTCCCAACACTGTTCAAAACTATCTGTCTGTGCCTTTGTGTGAAAGAAATTGCTAGTAATGCGAAAAATAAGTTATGATCATATTTCATGAGACTTGATCCTCTCTGGGTTTCAGCTTTCCTCGGGTTTATCTTTCACGCGTGACGTCAACATATGATGACAGGCTGCTGTTGTAAGTAAATAAAGCGGTTAGTAAACACTAAACCATTAGATCAGGGTCCTTAACTCACCCGCTAAAGCAGGTCTATAGCACATCGAGTGTGTGTGTGTGTGTGTGTGTAGATGTAAATAAGTAAATACCTGTACAATACTAATAAGTAAATACAGGGGTTTTGCAGGTTTTATGAAGGAAAATTTAAGACATTTTAATTTTAAGACTTTTTGAAGACCAAGTAATGGGCATTTGAGGAATAAATTGAATGGAACACAAGTTAAAATGGCTCTAAATGTAAATGTATTAGCCATACTCTCACTATTAACTATTACTAGCGTATTTTCTGTTTATTAGTACTTACTTATAAAGCACATATTAATGCCTCGTTCTGCATGTCCATATTCTAGATCCCATAAACCTACCCCATATCTAAATGAACAGCTACCTTACTAACTACATTGAGTCTTTGCTAATGTATGAAATGTTTTTGTATTAACGTTTTAAAGTGAAAACTGACAGTGAGTGTATCTGAGATCTCAAATCGCCGGTAAGAGCTTCTCAGGTGACCCTGTATGAACTCTTGGAACTCTGCTGAGCGGTTTTTAGCTGGCCATTGCTGTGTTTATTACTCGGTCACAACGCTCTCTCTGTGTCTGTGTTTTGTAGGAATGTGTAGCCGCTAGCATGAGCCCACATGTCATTATCTCAAACACACTGAAGACACTAATGGAGTGTTTTGTGTTTAATGTTTGCTGTCAGCAACTAAACTTGTAGCTATATAAGTGAGTCAGTAAGAGTCGAGGAGTGTGCGTCATGCTGATGAGTGACTAAAGTCAAGTATGCTGTGTAGTGTGTCAAGCTCATTCTTCTATAAAAGTAGCAAAGGCTTTCCCAATCATAAAACAGCAACCTAATAAAAGAAGCATTATACAGTGTTTGGTTTTGTAAAACAAGAATGAGACCTGCTTCTGTTTATAATTCACTGCTGTATGGTGTATGTTACATACTCCATGTTTAAATTACAGTACAAAATTGTTCCTAATTTGTCTCTTTTTTTACAGATGGTAATGTAATCCAAAGACTAATACCTGTGTAGTTGTTCGGCTAAATCTAACTCTTTTGTTAGTATTTCAATCAATATATGATTTAGAATATACAGTATGTCAATATGGTATTCCTGTAGAAATGTAGCGAAATTGCTGTCATATTCAGTTTTGCTAGGTTTTGAAATTAGCCCATGATTTACTCACCCTCAAGCCATCCTTGGTGTATATGACTTTCTTCTTTCAGATGAATCCAATCGGAGTTATATTAAAAAATGTCCTGGCCCTTCCAAGCTTTATAATGGCAGTGAATGGCTGTTGATATGATAATAGTCCAATAGAACTGTTGTCTGAGTGAGAAATGAATTGATGTAATTTCAAAGCTGTAGTCATTCAAGGGATGTATTTTGTGCCAAAGCAATGATTCACAGTTTAGCTCACATAGGTCACTTATTTACAATAACAGTCCAAGTATTCAGAAATGTGTCCTAGCTGTTGTAAAACACTGTAATTGACCACAATAAGATGTTCCTCTTCATAACGTGTTATGTTCACGCTCGATGTTGCGGTAAGAATTACCACATCAACCCAAAGAGCTGGATATATCATAGACAACATCTACGTCAACACTTGAGTTGTTTCGGCACCATTCTGGGGTGCGTTTCCCAAAAGCATCGTTAGCCAGCTGTGGTCGCAAGTTCCGTCGTTACCAACATAGTTCAACGATTCTGTGTTTCCCGAAACCTTAGCTCACATGAACATTCGCAAACCTACGTAGTTGGGACTACAGCTCTCGAACTGTGGTTAGAAGCATAGTTTCTTCTTAGAAAGAATAAATAAATGATGCTCTTGTGCACAATAAGCAAGCTAACATGCAGTACAATCTGTACATTCGGTGTTCATTCTGACTCCACTGTAGTTGCTTCATGTAAATTGCCACTGCTCCGCTGCAATAGACTTCTTCTCTGAGATCTTCAGTCTTTGTTTCTTTCATTGCAGATGGCAAAAGGCCGTATATTTACCGCTGCCGCTCGCCCAACATGGAGATCTT